GACTAAACAATAACATATAGTAAACTTGCATAATTAAACAGCAACTAAAAATGATAGGGTTTACTAAATCTTTTCCTGTGCAATTATTACTAGCATTGGAGACAAGGATAATAGTTTGTTTGAAAGAGAAAAGAACAGGCTTTGAAGTAAGCCTAAATGAGTTTAACTAGAAATAGTATTTCGAAAGTTATTAAGCACAGAAGATGAATTGCGTTTATTTTGATACACCCTGTATATATATATATATATATATATATATGTTAGTTGTGTTAAGATGAAAATGTTCTAGAGTGTGTATTATATAATTTCCATAATACACACTCTAGAACATTTTCATCTTATATATATATATATATATATATATATATATATATATATATATATATATATATATATATATATATATATATATATATATATATATATATATATATATATATATAAAATTAAGGCAGACAAGAATCTATTTGTTGCTGCCGATAAAACCACAAATTTCGACCGTTTGGACGCCCCACATATGATAAGCTACTTAATTGATACTGCAATAACAAAAACCTACAAGAAAGCCACGACGAAAACCAAGGACAGAATAATATCTGATGAAAAGAAAATTGCAAAAAGCCTTGGCATTGACAACCGTGTTGACTCACTAGCAACAAAGGACTCGTTTATTACCATGAAAGATAATAAACCAAATTTTTCCAACAACCCTACCTGCAGACTTATAAATCCATCGAAATCTGAAATCGAAATTGTCAGCAAGCAAGTCCTCCAAAGGATCAATTCCAAAATTGTCAAATCTACCAGTATAAACCAATGGAAAATACTGACGCAGTGATCAAGTGGTTTAACAACATGCCTAACAAATCAATCCGCTCATTTATCAGCTTCGATATAGTAGATTTCTATCCATCTATATCTGAACAGCTCCTGAAAGAATCCCTAGCATTCGCCTCACAATACGACGAAATAACCAAAAATGAGAAAGCCATTATCATGAAAGCAAAGCAATCGCTCCTCTTCAACAGAAATACAACTTGGCGAAAGAAAACATCAGCCGATTCACTTTACGATGTGACCATGTGCATCTTTGACGGGGCTGAGACATGCGAGTTAATGGGATCTTATCTCCTGTCACAACTAACGGCAGAGTACGGCAATGATATCGTTCTGTACAGAGATGACGGTCTCGCAGCCTTTGAGAAAACACCACGCGAAATCGAGATAATTAAGAAAAGTATTTGCAAAGTTTTCAGTGACAATAACCTGAAAATAACCATCGAAGCCAACAAAAAATGCGTTGACTACCTAGACATTACACTTGATCTCAGATCGTCATCTTACAAGCCATATATGAAACCCGGAAATACACCACTATATATCAACCACAACAGCAACCACCCGCCACCAATAATACGCAGCATACCTGACGCTATCAACAAGAGGCTATCAAACATATCCTCTGATAAGCAATCCTTCGAGTCGGCTTCGCCTCCATATCAGGAAGCCCTGCAAAAGAGCGGTTTTAACTACGTCCTCAATTACAATCCCCAGCCACCAAAGTCTAAACGTAGCCTAATAGAAACAGAAATGTGATATGGTTTAATCCTCCCTACAGCGCCAACGTTGTCACCGCCATTGGTCACAAATTCCTGCAGGCTATAGATGAATGCTTTCTACCCAACCATCCTCTACATAAGCTATTCAATAGAAACAACCTTAAGCTCAGCTACACTGTATGCCCAATGTGCACAATATCATCACGGCACACAACAGAACCGTACTCGATCGCAAGCATCCCGAGGCTACTAAAAATCCCGATGGGAAGTGCAATTGCCGCCAGGAAGATTCCTGCCCCCTCCCTGGCAAATGTTTAACCGAAAGCGTTGTGTACCAGGCCACAGTAACGAGAGGAGACAACCAACAGAAAGAAACCTACGTTGGACATACAGCGGGTCCATTCAAAGTGAGATTTACGACCACATGCACAAGCTCGTTCAGGAACCCGGAACATAAACATTCAACCGAACTGTGTAAATATATTTGGCAGTTGAAACAATCCAACATAGAATACGCTATGCGCTGGAAAATTTTAAAGAAATGTAAGGCCTACTCAAACAAAACAAAACGCTGTAAATTATGCCTGCACGAAAAGTTTATTGTAGTTTACTATCCTAAATTAAGCTCTTTGAACTCAAGAAACGAACTAATATCCGCATGTAGGCACAGGAAAATCCTGCTCTGCAGCCATCGCTCAGGTTACATATATTTACGCTTCCCTAATGATGTCAAACATTTGTATAATAGCTCAAGTTACCTATAGGTTATAACATCATGTAAATACGCGATATTAGGCTATCATTCACCTGATGAGTGTGGCAAGCTTATAGTTTGCTATACGAAACAAATTTGTCGTGAATAAATGTTTTAAACGAAGTAACTCAAGTTTGTCTTATATATATATATATATATATATATATATATATATATATATATATATATATATATAT